AGGATCTTCTAATTCTCAGTGGCGTTCTCTATACCCCTAAACACAGAAAACTTTAGAAAAGCTATGCATGGATCACACTTGAAAAAAAATTATTCTGAAAACTAAATCCAATTTTTTTTCTATTAAAAATTAATTTTAAATAACAAAGCCTCTACTTGCCCCTATTTTTTAGCTAGTAATAATTTAGCTAGCTTTTTTTTTTTATTTGAGAGTCAGTTTTCTGAAACCTATGCCTTTGGACACAATGGCAGAGGAACAAGCATGTTTCTTCTAAAATGTAAAAAAAAAAAAGCTAGTTAGGCCTGTTGTGCATACATTTACCCAAACATCACAAACCAGCACACCAAGCATGTGCATAAAAGCGGATAGCCTTTTGCACCGCACTATTGTTTGTACCCTCAGGTCTGTGTTTGAATACTGTGTATCTAAGTACTTTTTTACAGATTGCTGATGCCCATCAAACCAGTATCAAAGATCTCAACAGCTTTGCTTTAGAGACACGGAGCAACCCATATGCATGTGCTTCTCTGTTTATCTGGGAGACACAAGCCTACAAAACGCTCTTCATAAATGACAAATTATGTCCTCTCCAGTGCTTGCGCACGTTCTGCTCTCTTCTTCTCCTGACAGTCACACCCCATTTCCCATCTCTAATCCTTTAAATGTTGTTCTTTATCAGTTCCATTTAAAAAAAGACAAAAGTGAAGTGGCATTAAATCAGATCCAAAGGGTTTTTTTCCATCCATTTGGACCCATTGCTTGGTCTGTCTTTAAAGGAGAATATTCACAATCCAATGATTAACTTTTTTTTTAGCACAGGTGGAATATCGTGTTCTGGATGCATCAAAATGTACCTGAAGTAATGTTTTTAAAGCTTATATTTAGCCAAAAATATGTTTCTGTGTGCCTTATCTACATGTCAGGCCATGGTGAGCCCTTTCCACAGAAGCATGAACAAGGAGAACTGAATAAGCAGCTCTACGTTTCTCTAACGAAAAAAAAAGTATCAAGAAAGAATCCTACTCAATCAGCAACAGCAGCACTGCAATTAAAATATTTTCAAAGGTATTCTACAAAGTTGTTCAAAATTTGCCCTGAGAAATGAGGTTTTCCTCAAAAGAGTCTTAAAGATTTCTGATGTAAGCCAGAATTCCTTTATGGCTATTTCCATGCCATCTGAAGTTGCTTGTGATTACATGCGTCAGAAACATACCCTTTCCAAGCATCTAAGTCTAGACATCTCCAGCAGAAATATTTTAGCACTTCGCTTGTACTAGGATTAAAAACATCAGATCTCAAAAGTTTTTGCCATTTCGAGGTAAGAATCTGCTGTGCAAATTAGAGTTTCTAGATGAAGAGCCTATTGAGCCAAAAATGACCAGGGCATTTGTGTCATCAATGAAATATTTTAAAAATATTTTAATAAAAGTCATTTGATAAATGCGGATGGAAAAATCTAGATGGATAGTTCATATTTTCTCAGACTACTTTTTAGGAGGATGGCTTTTCACCTCTGAAAGTTTTCCTATTAAAAATACCCAACATTTTTCTAAGAAACACAAGTCTTAAAAAAAATCAGTATTGTAGCTCTTCAAAACATAAAGCTAGTTCTTGGCAAGCAAAAATGAGTACTAATATTTTTATTAAAATATGTGGAAATGTATTTTAATGGAAAAAAATGAAAGCCATCAAAAATTCTTTGCAAACCGTCCGCCGCGTTTTCTCTAATTTTAAACATCATTCAAAAATTGAACCACCTGTAGATGTAACTAAATATATTGAAATTGTATCTTTAAAATGCCTCTGCACATGCAAATAATGATTTAAGTATTTCATGTTCCCTTCTCCCAAATGCATACTTGCATCATACTTCAGTAACATACAATATTTTCAGACAACAAATGTGAGATTATACATAATCAGTTCTAAGATGTCATTACATACATTATGGCATTTCTACTTTTAAGGTATTTTTTCCTCCCTAAGCCACCTCTTCCCTTTCTAACAAATACCAGAGAAGATGTTGCTGCAATGTGCCAATCGTGGCATAACCCTATGAGGAACAATGCAAACAGAATGAAAGAATTTAACCAAAATTACTCATTTGCCTTCCTTGTGCTCTTAGAGTGACTGCTTAAAATGAGTTTTCAACACTGGTCTCAAATCCATTTGCAGTGTAAGCAGGCCCCTTAATGTGTATCGTAATGTCATTCCTTTACTCCAAGACCTTCAAGAGGACACTTTCTAATTTTCCTGAAAAAACAACTCTTAAAAATGTGTCCCAGAGACTGAGCTGGTTTGTGGAGAGCAGCTGAGGCCAGAGATACTGGGTTATCTGTGATGGACCTAATGGTCACACTGGGCAAATGTTGACAGCTTTACTAAAATGTATATGGCAAGTCATGCTCGTAATAAGGAATGCTATGGATTACGGTTAGGAAGAGTATGTACAGGTATATTCATGGCATACATAAATATTCAGCATCACTGTATGGATATCAGAATGTGATCAGCGATACTTTCCAGTTTCATGGCTGTGTAAGAATTGATCTTATGTTTTTACTGCAAAATAATTATTAGCTTCCTCTGAAATGTTTCCAATGTTTACTAAAAATTTCCAGTCATTCTTGAAAACTCCTTTTGGTAATATACAAAAAGGGGAGACAATCATGCTTGTCAAAGTAGTTTATAACGATTGCTCCAGGAAACATTTTCCTGCATCCACCTACCTCTAGTCAAAATGAATACACACCAGATCCCAATATTTTGACCCGAAAGGTAAAAATGATTTATAAACAATTACATAAAAAAGCCCACTCTTATTCTCTGTTTACTGTAAATGTATATGGAAATTGGTGTTTTGTTTTTTTTTTTTTTTTTTAAATAGAGTCCTGTGCTGTGATCCAGCCAGCCCTAAAATGCATGGGTGCCCTTTCACTGACTTTAACTACAGCTAGATCATGCCCGTTTTAAAAGACAAATCTTTTACACAGTTGTTTTATGAGATGATTTTTTACAATGCTGACTTTATACATAGATAAATCTTCCTTAAGTGTAGATTTGATGATGCAGTACACAGAATTCTCTGTAGCAGAAATTTTCCATTCTCTTTTATCTTCATTACTGTACAGCCCTATTACAAGGGAGTAATAGTTTACAGTCTAGTTGCAGTGTTTACTTTAGCTTAATCTAAATAGTTGACCCCATTAAATCAATTTCAACTCTCGCCCTTTGCTTTTAATTCGAATTCAAATGCTAGGTTAGAAATGAGCAAAAACTTGAAAGAAATCTATTTAAAACCAGAAAACATGTAAGCTAGACCAGAAATAACCGCTACTCCCAGCAGCGCAGATTTGCTTGTTTAGTAAACTACATCATGCTACAAACTGAAAAAAGGAGCGTGACAGCTTTTGTTAACTCATACTAATTACATGCTATCATACCTAACACCTAAGTCAGGTTTTAGGCATCTGAAGGCTTCTGATTGACAGGTATGATTTGGAACTCTTAAAAAACTTTTAAAAGAAAGAATCACAGTCAGCAGGCTGCAGAATACGCTCTTAGTCACTATCAGTCATGCTCTCCAGTCCCAGCAGGAAAATATAGTTCATTAGTTATTTGAAGTGTGGTAGCTTACAAAAGTCCTAAGATAGACTGTTATGCCAGGTAATGCCCAAACAGCAAGAAACATCCAGGGTTTAGGCTCCTAGGTTCTTACAGGGTCCACAGGGAAGTTAAGGTTAGTAGTCCCACACTGAGGGTAAGGATGGGATTTTCGAGCTGAAATTCTCCTTCCAGCTATATATGAGGTGGAGGGGAAAGAAGCGTGCTGAGAAGCTACTTGTGCATGGTGCCCACGCTTTCGGTGATCAGCCAGATCCCATCAGGAATTGGGATAATCTTTATCTACTCAGGGAGAGAATTGAGGTGGATATATTTAGAGAGGCTCTTCTGTTTGTGATTTGTAATTTATGGGCTCAGCACCCAAAGCATTCAACAGCCGCTCATAACTACATTTCACATAAAACCCACCTACATTAAAGAGAGATTATCAAGGCAGTAAGGTCAAGTGCTAAATACTTAGGCAATGCCAGAATGAAGGTTGCCTCTGCAACGTTAATTCAGTCTCCTTATACATATGTATTATCGTATGGTTTCTAATTGCATGATGACACAGTAATTTTTTACTATCCTACCATTTGCTTCATCAAAGCATGGAGTGGGCAGTGCTCACTTAATGAGCCAGTATTAAATATTTTGCTTTCTCCTCCTTGAAGGCATGGCCCCAAGCCATTTAAGCCCTGTTCAGAAGATAGAAATCTTAATTTCCTCATGGGCTTTTCATTGGTGCTTCACTAAAGTATACGAATACTTTACAAATACAAATGAATTTATATGTGCACGAAATCCTTGCTGAAAGAAAATGACGATTCTCTCTGTTTCACAACTAAGAAACTAAGACATAAAGTGATCAAGAGCAAAAAGTAGCTGTTAATTGTGAGTGCCCAAATCACGACAAGAAGAAACTGACTTTTGGAATAGTTGCTGTAGGCATCACGTCAAGCACAGCTTCCACTGATTTCTGCAAACTAAGCGAACACTTAAATACTTGCATTACTCAGGCATCACAGCCTCAAAAACAGCATTCAGAAAAAGAGAGACTGCAGCTTTTAAGGAAGTTGTGAAAAGAGTTGTTTGAGTGGCAAAACTAGGAACTTTGAACAAGCAATCTCTGGCAGGAACAGAGCTCTAACCTGTGTCTTTGGGGCATGCAACACAGCAAGCTTTTCTATTCTTGGCATCATTCAGTGCAGCCCTTAAATTCTGCAGCACATGAGGCAAGGACCTTACAGCAAACAGCCTCTGCTACAGATCCTCTTTTCCACTGAGTGATTTTCTTTCTCTTTTCTTCTCTTTTTTTTTTTTTTCTCCCTCTTCCTCCCCCTTTCCATTTCTCCTGTCTCCTGCTATTGTCCTCCCCATTTGTTCTTTCATACCAGCTCGTCGGGCAACTCTTCTCACCGTGCCCACTCTGATGACAGCATCTTCTGAAGACGACATAGACCGGAGACCCATCAGAAGACTCCGGTCTAAGAGCGACACCCCTTACCTGGAAGAAGCTAGGATCTGCTTCAACCTTGATAATGGTAAGACCACCCTTTCCCCAAACAGCATATGATATTAATTAAAGGCTTTTTTTGAGATGCAGTGGTATGGTGGCTCACCAGCCACCCAAGGATGCCACGGCTGTCTAACTACAAGCACCTGAATACGTATGAACAGGGATCCTTTTCAAAATTCTCCTATTTTAGCTAGGGTGAACCCATGAGATCAGAGCAAAAGAGAATGGCTTTGCAAACAAGATACAAATGTATCTTACCCACTCCAGGCATCCGGAAACATGAAAGTTCTTGTGAACATTTATGAAGGGATTAGAGCTAACAGCAGACTTCAGCTAAACCCAACGTTACAACCATGGAAGAACATCCAGCACGCCCCAAAACCTCTCTAGGTTTAGTTGGCAAAAGTGTAACAGAGAGCTCTTGATTCTGCAGGAATGAGTAAGAGAGCTGTACCCCAAAATTGAGAGCAGCTAACGTTACTATTGCTGCCTTCAGAGTTACTGAGCCCTGGAACTCCCTGGTCCTTGAACCTCATTTAAGTTGACCAAACCAAAAGATTTTTGGAAGAACTAAAAACTTAGTGCCTTTAAGGAGACTGGGTTTTCTTTAAAAAATCTGAATTAAATGGGATGAACTAGTACACTCCCAGGCACATATTTTAACTGTTTAACTCTCACTTTACGTAGAACTTTTGTGCTACCTGGATTTGTCTTTAAAAATAGTGTTTTTTAATTATTTCTATTACACTAACATTAGAGGTCCTAACTGAAACTGGAGCCCCAATGTGGCAGGCAGCCTACAACCACAGGGTAAGAAATAACATCTCCATAAAGAGCCGATTACTAAATAGAGAAGACGGAATAGGGGTGAAGCAGCAATACACTGTCCCCAGTTTGCAGCTGGAGAATGGAGCCACTGACTTGTGCTTACGGTCACCTTTTTTCTCCAAGACCTGCCAAAGCGACTTATGAATACGAGTCCCAGGCTGTAAGCGATAGCCAGTTTGAAACATAGAACGTAGGCTCCTCAGTCCCCTTGGCATTTTAGAGCGCTTGGCTTGGTGCACCGTTCTGGTTTACTCGATGGGTTTGCCCAAGGAAAGAGGCGGAGGAGGTGAAGGGATGAGCCCTTAGACTTCCCACCACGTCTCGATCCAGCCGTGCTGTGACTTCTGGGAGCCATAGGCTAGAAGAGCGCAGTTCAGGGTGCCTGAGACTGGGGTGGAAGGTGCCAGGCCTGCTGCAGGGTGGCACCTCGGCCAGCCAGCCCATGGCG